AAAAAAAATGAAAAGGGAGAAAAAGAAAAACGCTGCTGTGAGTCCTTTTTTTCAGGAAGAAGACTGTTTTATCCATGTTAATCCCTGGCTCTTCCTGTTGAGTTCACATTCTGAGGCGTGTAAGGGCGCCTCCGCAATTTGCCTCCATCAAGCTGAGCATGACCTCCCACTCCAGGACCGAGAGCTCAGGAGGATGTGATGATGTCTTCCAGTATCTCTGACCACTGTGTCCTGTGTCCCTACAGCTGGGGAAGTCCTACCTCACCCCAAAATACCCTCTTCCTTCGTGGCCTTTATCTCTCTACCTAATCCTCACACTCTAAGAATAACAGTGTTATTATTCCTGTTTTACAGAAAGATTAAAAGATTTGCATACTCACAGTTAGAAAGCAGCAGAGGCAGAATTTGAAACCAAGCAGTCTGACTCCAGCTTCACATTTTTTTTTTTTTTTTTGTGACAGTCTCACTTTGTCACCCTTGGTAGAGTGCCGTGGCATCACAGCTCACAGCAACCTCAAACTCTTGGGCTTAAGCAATTCTCTTGCCTCAGCCTCCCAAGTAGCTGGGAATGCAAGCGCCTGCCACAATGCCTGGCTTTTTTGTTGTTGTTGCAGTTGTCATTGCTGTTTTGGCAGGCAGGGGCCGAGTTCAAACCCACCACCCTCGGTATATGGGGCCAGTGCCCTACCCACTGAACTACAGGCACTGCCCTAGCTTCACCTTTCTAATCACCCCAAGCAAGCCACTTCCCCTTCCTAAATCCTTCCCATCTAACCCCACCCAAAGTGACCTCTCCCACTTCTGAATCCTACATCACTTGTTTTTTTGATCTCATTCATTTGAAGGTTAGCTACTTTTCTCCCATGAGATACCATCTTCCCAATAAACTATAAATTGCCTAAAAGGCACAGATATTTCTTTCACTAGTGATGGAAGGAATTGTGTTTAAACCTTCCCACTACAGAACACAATTAGAACAAGAGTGCTCTAAACTGATCCATTTGCTGATTATAAAGTTGAATAGATCATTTTAGCTACTATAATTTGAATTAATGTGAAGTTGTACTCTAATTTTTATATCTGAAACAAATTATATACATGACATACTCATTGTATAAGATGAAAGGTATATGTGAAAAATTAAACATTAATTCTGATACCAAAAATGGCAACAATTTTAAAGAGCGTATCATGCAGCTTAACATGAAAAGTACATAAATCAACAATAAAAAAATTCAATCTTAAAGTGAAAGGCTTTTTTTCTTTTCTTGGCATCTCTATCTGGATTCTGCTGAAGATAAAAAGTCACCAGCGAGTATATGTTAAAGGCTGTTCTTTGTCTTTTTTTTCTTAATCAGAATTTATGAAGTCAATTTTATTTAAATTAAAAACAAGAATTCTTCTTAAAACATGTAATATCAAACCGAGTCCTCAATTTTTTTTTTTTTTGCCTTCCTCTTAATTTGTAACAGAGACTCTAAGAAAATAAAATCTAAGGTTAAGGAAATTTCCACCAATGTGAAGAAAATATTTTCCAAAATTAAAATAACAAGTTCCTCCCTGGTTAACATAACTGATTTAAGTTGCAGATACATGACTGCCCCTGAGATCACCTTCCTCCCCAAGCTCTGCGAAAGGGCCAAATCCACATCCTTTTCAGCAATTTGCAAGCCCTCTATGGGACTCCCTTTTTTATGAAATGCTGCACATACTACCAATGCTTCATAAATATTTCATGATACATTACTCAGTCCTGGAATTTCCTGCAAGATTGCACAAAATCTTTTAAATGGTGCACTGTAAGCCGTAAAATAATCAGATATAAAAGTAAGCTATATCAATCCCTTCATTAACAATTTTTTACAGAATTTTAGAAAAAGCCATGTTACTACATTTTAATCTCAGGGGAGAGATTTACTATTTATATTACTTTACTAAAAGGCTTTTAGAATTACATTTATTTTTTTATATCATATAATATTTCTCAATTGGACAAGAGCCTTTCATATTGTAATCTTTAGTCCAAAATGGCCCGAGGGCCTGAGGGGGCAATGAAGTTGGTTAATGGATTCAAAAAAACTGAGGGAATAATTTCTAGTGTTTGATAGCACAGTAGGGTGATTACAGTTAATAATATATTGTATATTTCAAAACAGCAACCATAAGGCATGAGACTAGACGAATGAATACTAGAAGAAAATGTTGGAAAAACTCTTAGAGGTATGGGCCTAGACAAAGAATTTCTGAAGAAGACCCCAAATGCAATCACAGCAACAACAAAATTAAACAAAATGCAATCACAGCAACAATAAAATTAAACAACTGCTGGAGGGCCCGCAAGCTAGTACCGCCTCTATGGAAACTAGTATGCAGACACTTTAAAGAACTAAAAGTAGACCTCCCATTCCATCCAGCAATCCCACTACTTGGTATTTACTCAAATGAAAAAAAGACATCCTACTAAAAAAGACACTTTGCGCTTGAAAGTTTATAGCAGCACAATTCACAATCATGAAAATGTAGAAACAATCCAAGTGTCCATCGGTACATAGGTGGATTAATAAAATGTGGTATCTGCATACCGTGAGGTACTACCCAGACATTAACAAAAGATTGATAACCTAGTATCTTTTGTAACAACCTGGACAGAACTGGAGACCGTTCTTCTAAGTGAAGCACCATAAGAGTGAAGAAAACAAACACCACAGGTATTCCATGCTAAACTGGAACTAATCAATCAACATTTATGTGCACTTATGGAAGCAAAACTCCCCAGAAATCAGTGAAATGGAGGAGGGGATGAGTAAATTCACACCTAAGGAATACAATACACACTATATGGATGAAAGGGATACTTGTAACTTTGACTCAAAAGACACATAAGAATTATATGTAACCAAAATGTTTGTACTTCCATAATATCTTTTTTTTCTTTTTTATAGAGGAAAGCGTGAACGCAGTCCCCCACTACCGCAAATTAAGCAGTTGAGTTTCCCACATTTGGGGAAATCACAGGGGTCAGCACATCCGGAGTGCAATGGATAATCCTCGCCCCAGGATAACCACCTTTGTGATCATGGTATCTCCCCTGCCAAGTAGATATTTTCATAATGTTCTTAATTTTTCTTCAATTTAAAAAAAATAGCAAGAAGACTTAGAATGTTCTATTATAAAGAAAAGATAAATGTATGAGGTTATAGAAATGCTAATTACCCTGATTTGATCATTAATGTATGCATGTATCAAAATACAACTTGCACCTCAGAAATATGTATAATCATTAAGTGTCAATTTTTTTTTAAATGGCCCAATGTAATTGGAAAATAGACTAGACTACAAATTGCAAAATCTAGCAGTGTCTGATATCCAGTAGACGAATAAAATTTGACTGACCTAAATTATGCATAATGCTTAACAAAATGTGTTCCCGTATATTAAATTTAATCTCAGTGCTTCAATTTCCTTATCTGTAAAACAAAAGAGCTAGATATCACTAAGATCCCTACCAGCTTTAAAAAGCTTAACAGTTAATCAGCGTGCTTTCAAATTTAGTAATTTGGGAAAGAACAGCTCAATAAACCCAAAACCTCCCCCTGGAGAAAAGAGAGGCGAAAACCAAAGAATCAGATTTCTAAACTGGGCAATGCTTCCCATGTTGAGGGACCCCCGGTAAGGTGATAATGCATGAGAAAATACTTCTTAAATTTTCAAAACACTATAGTTAACGTAAGGCAGCCATAATACCATAAAACTGTGTAAGGAGGTATTTTTTTCAGTAACAGGAAATGCTGTAGATATTCAGATATAATTGGAAATATTCTATACAAAAGTAGGGTCACTCCACTCACACCCCCAACTCCAGCAAGTAGCTCTGCAGTCAAGATAATTAAGCGCTCAGGAGGCTGAGGCAAGAGAGTCGCCTAAGCCCAGGAGTTGGAGGTTGCTGTGAGCCGTGGGATGCCACAACACTCTACCAAGTGTGATAAAGTGAGACTCTGTCTCTACAAAAAAAATTAAAAAAAAAAAAAAAAGATAATTAAGCAGTGACTTTAAAAAAAAAAAAAACCTGTTGACTTTGCTATATTTTTACAATCTATGAATATTCTTGCTTATTTGCTATTGATTATATTGAAAAGAGTATTATAACATTTTATGGTAATAATTCAAATTTGCAAGATTTTGGTTGTCAAGGAGAGTAGAGTCAACACTATGGAGAGCAACCCTAGAGCCTGATGCAGTTAAATGTCTTTTTCTTTTTTAAACCAGCAAATCCCATTAAAAGTTTGATGAGTGGTTGGAATCTTTGAATTTGCATGCTTGAAACACTTTCACTTTTTAATCTGTGATCTACTTGCTCCTCAAAGTATACCACATCTTTCTTAACTCTGCTGAGCCTCAAACTCTAATTATTCATTTTTTAAAAAGTAAAGGTAAGTTGGCAGGGTGAGATGGCTCACGCCTGTAATCCTAGCACTGTGGGAGGCCTAGGCAGGTGGCTTACTTAAGTTCAGGAGTTCAAGACCAGCCTCAGCAAGACTGAGACCCATCTCTAAAAATAGCCAGGCATTGGTTTGGGCACGGTTGCTGTGAGGTATGATGCCACAGCACTCAATCCAGGGTGAGTAGGACTCTGTCTCAAAAAAAAAATAAACGAGACTCTTTTCACAAGATGGTCCCAAAGGTGAAGAAGGAAGCTCCATCACCCACAGACCTTCAGGCAGCCAAAGAGTCTGTGGATCTGAAGGCAGCTCAAATATCCTGGGAAGGACTCTCCCAGGAGAAACAAGCTTCACCACTATGCCATCATCAAGTTCCCCCTGACCACTGAGTCTGCCACGAAGACGACAGAGAACAACACACTCATGTTCATTGTAGATGTCAAAGCCAAAGAGCACCAGGTCCAACAGGCTGTGAAGCTCTATGACATTGACATAGCCAAAGTCAACACCTTGATCAGGCCTGATGGCAAGAAGAAGGCATATGTTCCACTGGTTTCTGATTATGATGCTTTGGATGGTGCCAACAAAATTGGGATCATCTAAACCAGTGGTTCTCAACCTTACTAATGCCACAACCCTTTAATATAGTTCCTCTGGGTCACAACCCACAGGTTGAGAACCGCTGATCAACCTAAACCAATAAACCAACTCCAGCTGGCTAATTCTAAATATATAACTTTTTGCTGTAAAAAACAAGCAAACAACAAAAAACAAAATCTTAAGGCAAATATATGATCTATAAGAAATAAAACTCAAGGAAAGCCCAGAACTCCAAAGACTTGATTTTCCATCTAGGCTGATCAGGTTTAAGCAATTGGTTGGGGAAAGTCTGCCATCTTGTGGCCGGCAAAATGTAAGACCTTGCAGCCGCCCTTTGGTGGCTTTCCCCCCAGACAGCTGCTCTAGCAAACAAAAGCCTTCTCATCCAGCCATCTGAACATCCCCCAGAGCCTTCTCACTAACAAGGACAATATCCTCAAAAGTTAAAGCTGAAATCCAGCCTGATCAAGATCTGTACCCCATCTCTACTAAAACAAGAAAAACTAGCTGGGCAACATGGCGGATGCCTATAGTCCCAGCTACTCAGGAGGCTGAGGCAAGAGGATCTCTTAAGCCCAAGAGTTTGAGGTTGCTGTAAGCTATGATAATACCACGGCACTCTATCCAAGGTGACAGAGTGAGACTCTGTCTAAAAAAAGAAAAAAAATTTAAGTTTAAAGGACATAAAAGAATTCTTCAATTAAAAAAAAAACCTTGGTGCATCTTACAAAGGTACATGTGAAATTTACTAGGTGTAGAATATAAATGTCTTAACACAATAACTAAGAAATTATTAGTTATGCTAATAATGCTGCAAAGGCTATGTTAACCAGTTTGATGAAAACATTTCAAATTGTATATAAAACCAGCACATTGTACCCCATGATTGCATGAATGTACACAGCTATGATTTAATTTACAAAAAAAAACCCTTAAGGGCAGCACCTGTGGCTCAAAGGAGTAGGGCGCCAGCCCCATATACCGGAGGTGGTGGGTTCAACCCCACCCCTGGCCAAAAACTGCAAAAAAAAACCTTCAGAAGATAAAGTGGAGGTTACAGAGAAAATTATGTGGGGCTTTCCTCCTCCCTATCAGGCCTGAGAGTCTCCACAAATCTCCAAATTCAAAAGAAATGGGAGCACTGAAGCCCAGAGAGATCAAGTGACTCACTCAGAAACCTCAGTGTCCTCTCTCCTGACAAATGAGTTATTCTTTTTAATATATATATATATATATATATACACACACATATATATACACACATAAGTTAGTTATTCTTCACACATGCTTGTCCTCTGGATTTTTCATCACATTTTTCCCTATCTTCAGGCTGGAAAAGTCAAAAATCATGGACTTCTAGAGCTTAGAGAACAACTATAAAATTCCCCATTTCATGCCAACCAGCTCCTGAGTAGATTTAATTGAGGGGTGAGAGGTAAGAGGGTGGGATGAAGGTTTTCAAATAGAGACTCAAGATCAGTACTTTTCAACAGAACTTTCTGCAATGATGGAAGTGTTCTGAGTCTGCATGGTCTAGTGTGGTAGCCACTGGACTCACAGTTCTGAACACTTGAAATAAAATCTCAGCTGCACCAACCACATTTAATTTTAATTCATTTAAACAAAATTGCTACAGGTGCTGCAGTACTAGGCAGCACAGCTCTAGATCTTTCATTATTAAGCCAGGCGCAGTGGCTCGTGCCTGTAGTCCTAGCACTCTGGGAAGCCAAGGCAGGTGGATCACACTAGAGCTCAGGAGTTTGAGACCCACCTGAGCAAGAGTGAGATGCCATCCATTAAAAAAAAAAAAAAAAAGGTGGCCGGGTATCATGGTGGACACCTGTAGTCACAGCTATGTTGGAGGCTGAGGAAAGAGAATCACTTAGAGAAGTCTGAGGTTGCTGTAAGCTGTGACACCATGGCACTATTATGTAGGGCAACCAAGTGAGACTGTCTCAAAAAAAAAAAAAAAAGAAAGAAAGAAAAGAAAAGAAAAGGAATATAAACAACAAACCAGGTGTCGTGGTGGACACCTGTAGTCCCAGCTACTCAGGAGGCTGAGTCAAAAGGACTGCTTGAGCTCAGGAGTTTGAGGTTGGACTGAACTATAATGATGCCACAGCACTCTAACAAGGGTGACAGAGTGAAACTTGTCTCCAAAAAAAACAAAAAAATTTGATCCTCCGTTCCTAATTTATTCCAGCACATTATCACCTTGACAAACAAAAGCAGTCCATCCATTCATTCAAAAATGTGTCTGGCTGCTCTATGGAGAATAGTACACTGGTATGATATATCACTCACACATGCAAAGAGAAAGCATGGTCACTGCTTTCCCAGAGTATACAATCAATGGAGAAAATAAAGCATGTGCAGACACATAACTAGAAGATGAGGACATGGAGAGGGGTCCCTCTTTGACAGGGAGCTACAAGGCCCTGTCATGGGAGACTGAAATGGTACCTTTTAAAGGTCAGCAGCAGCAGAAGAGCTCACAGACATTTCAGAGGAAGGGGAAGGAACATTGAGGAGAGACCAGAAGGTCCACTCAGGTGACATCAAGAAGCCTGATCCAATTCAAGGGGTAGTATGGTGCAAGGGAATCACTAGAGGGAAAACTGGGAGGGTACGTTAGCACCAGTTTCTAAACATAAAAATGAGAGAACCAGGGAAGGAACAATGGGTACAAAAAGGAAGGTACCAATTAAGGAAAGATTGCAATGGGGCAGAACTCCAGACTTTGGAAATTATTACATGCTGGGGATGAGAGAAAGAAAGAATGCAAAAGTTTAAATCAGGATAAACTTGGTTTACTGTGGTTTAGAAAGACACCATTAATGAGGCAGGTACTAGGAGAAAGAGAAAGTGAATGTTTAAAGGTTACAGAAAGTGTGGTAATGAGACAGACAGAGGGATCACCAAGCATCTTGAGAAGATGGATAGGAGACTGTGAATCAGTAAGTGTCAAAATCTTTATTGACTGAAACAATAAAGTGGCAAATACAGGAGGAAAGAAAGAAGACTCAAGAACAGACTCCACATCGGGTGGGAGGTGATCCTTTTG